AAATCTTTCAATTCCCTGTACTTATGGCGTTTCTACACCTGCTCACGTACTTACAAACCATCGTCTAGAGCTCCAAAAATATAATTCTAGTGCGCTCAAATGCAAATTTGGCGATAACCGCAAATTACGAGATATATCCTAACAAACTTACCTGAAACGTCATTGCGAAAATCACATAGCCATTTTTCAAAGGTATGTGAGAATTGCAATCTTTTAAGATGTGTACCACAATGCGAATAGAAATAAGTTTATAACAAAAATCTGAGATTACCCATTTCAATATTTCAACATTATTGTACAAGTGACATCATCTGAGTGAAAATATACGACAGGAGAGATCATTCATTATGGATTAATGCACACAAAGGTCCTTCCAATGCGATCGATCCACGTTCAGACGTCTTCAGCAACAGTGAGGTGCGTTACAGTATTCGCATGCCCCGCCGCTTCCTTCCTCCAGATGGACTTCGAACAGCGCCTGTGTGAGCAAAAATTCAAAAAAAAAAATTCAAAACAAGCAAAACCGACTCACAACTCACTCAGCACGTGTGTTGCCAGAACCGTCAACATAGAGACTGAAGGTAAGATGTCACAGCGTCAAGCAGCATCATCCTGTGCTCTTTTGGCGACTGAATATTGGTGCTCATCCCATCAGCACTCAGGGTAATTGCAGAGTTGATTGAGTCAATTTTGATAGTTTTTCGTTCTCCATCGGGATGCATTGTAACGCGGCCAGACAGATTTCTCTGGAAAACGTCAATTGTGAGACTATACAGAAGTGAAAGAACTTGACAAACCTTTTGCAGAGCTTTCATCACCATCTCTGTGGTAAGCTGACCAGCAAATTTCGGCCGGAGGGCACCCACTTTTTTCTTCGCTGGCTGAAAGTCAAACGTATAGAAGCGCATAGAAACTTTCACTTTTGAAAGGAAGAAGTGCATAGGTGTATTTATGTTATTAGTGAAATAGCAAAGTTACGCTCTGGGAGGGACAACGTTTTTGTAAGTTTCTATATATCAGCGCGCATGACTTCAAAGTTGTTGCTGTAGAAAGATCAATATTTTTTGTTTTCAATTAGTTAGTGTCCCACAAACAAAAAAGTCAAGACATGATTGCTAGAATAAGGAAATCGAACGTGAGGCGGTACTTATGATCTTCTCCGCTTATGAAGTACATATACATGAGTGCTAAGTACAAAACCTTACGTGCAATTCATAAGCTTCGTCATATGCACACAGATACCCTGTCAATGAAGCGAGACCGATTTCCGAGTTTGAATGATGTCCACGGAGTTCTATCCGTTTGATCACCTAGAACTAGGAAAATTACTGATACCGAAATATCAATGACGGAGCACCTTTCTTTATTACAAATGCATATCATAAAAAATAGGTAAGACTCACGTCTGGATCTATCTTGATCTTTCTTTTTCGTAGCTTCTTTGATGGCAGTGAGATGGATAGTTGCTCGTCGTACCTCATAGGCGTAATGGAATTCTTAAGAATAAGGTTGTGTGTTGAGAGCTAGCATTTTGCCAATAAGTTAACAACGAAGTCTATCGTCTCTACCGTTTCTGAATACGATGCGCATTTCGAAGACGCAAAACGGTCAATCTGATCCGAAACTTGTTCCAATGAGTCAAATTGCCGCTTTTTGCAGGAGCGGCTGTTCGTATGATTAAAGTAAATAGCAGGCTGCCAAAAAAGACCATAAGCTTTACAGTGCGTGCAGATTTGGATTACGCATTCAAGATCGACGTTTAGAACGACATAGGCGATACCACCTGCCATTGCAAAGCACTGATTCGTTGAAAACGCATACTTTACAAAAAATTCGATGAGTACAAGTAATGCGGAACGACCAAAAAGTATAATAGAATATTCAAAAAACTACTAGCATAAAAAACTCACATACTGAACAACAAACTCTATTCTGTTATGCGTAGGAGATTTCGAGCAATGAGCTATCGAATAAGCCTCCGGGATTATGAGGTTCTGAAAGGTGGATCATCAAAGGTTGTAAGATGTGACACATTTCACTGAGTAATAACTCTCAAAAAGCCAGAAACATAGCTTCGACA